GGGGGTACTCGGGTAGGCAAACCGGGGGGTGGTAAGACCTTTATAAGGAAAGCGAGGCGAGCCCGTGCCCAAAGCCGCTGACCGCCAAGTTACTAGTTAGCTGGCCCGGCCCGGACGTTCACGGTTGATGCACTGCACACGAACGTAACACTGCCGGGAAGGATCCGATGATCTGAGCCTGAGTGAAACACAAGCATCCAGACATGCTGAGAGGACCTTAGCAAGACGGCTAGGAAGGCCGGCCGCGGCTCTTCCGACGGTCAAACGTACCGTACTAGGCTAACTTGATTGTCGCAGTAGCCGCGGCGGCCCCCCCCCCCCCCGTCGCACAGTAAGTAACTCGGAACTTTCCATACGGTACGGTAGCCTTGCTAGCCCAGGCTACGGTACGGTACCCGCCGGGCCGGGCCGGGCCGCCTTCACTGATTGAAGCGGCCCGGCAGGGCCCCGCACGTGCAGTTTCAAAACGTTTAAATATTTCAGTCAAATATTGAAATCTTGGCACTGTATTTGGGCATCGATCAGGAAGGATTTCCCCACCAAAAGTAGCATGGTATGAGGGAAACAGGAATGACAAGTGAGGAGAGGAGAGAAGAGAAGGGGATGAAGAGGAAGAATGCTCATCGGAGCGAAGAGCAAGAAGATGCAGAAGTGGATCAAGATGCCTTGGAGAGGCTTGAAAGGATGCAAAGAGAGCGAATCATGGAGATGTTCGGTTATGATGCGGAAGAAGAGAACGCGATCCTGAGAGCCAAGTCAGAGTCAAAGAGCACCAAGGTTCAGCCGAAGCAAGCACAGCCCCTCAGCAGCAAGAAGCCGAAGGTTCAGAGCTCCAGCAGTGTGAGGGTGTCGGGGCCCTCTGAGCCGGTTCGAAATGAGTTGCCCAAGTTCGATGGAAAGGGGTCACGTCCTTCACGTCCTGTGAAGGTCAGCAGGGAGAGCGAGGCGACGACCTCGAGGCCGAAGGCGTCAGAGAATTTCATGTCCTCGAAAGTCTCAAAAGTACATGGGGGCGAGGAGAAGGCTTCAAGCGGCGTGATCAAAGGAAGGACGCTGAAGCGGAAGACCGGGGATGATGAGTTCATATCCACTGCCAGGATTGTAGAGGAGCTAGGTGCTTCGATGTTTGCAGGCAGGAAGAGAAGAGCGTGGGAAGCGAAGAGGCTGAAGGAGATGGGAGCCAAGGGGCCCAAGAACCAGAAAGTCCCCTACGACATTCTGATGCGGCGGAAGAAGAAGATGGCGTGAGTGAAGGAGAGAGGGAGCCCTTGACGCTGACATGCTGCAGGAAACTGGACGAGCGGCAAGAGAAGATGGAGGTCGAGTCAGGGATGAAGCTCAAGGCCACGAAGAAGAAGAAGAAGGGCAAGACCATCCACTCCCTCAACACTGTTGGTGTCATGACAGTGAAGCCGTTAGAGCAGAAAAAACGAGGAAGAGGGAGATAGCGCCAGACCTGTTCTTTCATATCAAAACTTTACTGACAGATATTACAAGCTTTCAGTCGCACTTGCTAGAACAGCGCCGAGATCCTCCGGTTCCCTGCCACTGAAAGTCGCGTGTCCTCGTTCTGCCCCGTAGCCGGGGGGTTCCGCTGCTTCGCCTCCACGTTCCACTTGGCGACGAAGGGATGACGGAGGAGGCGGCGAGCAGAAGGTCGTTCTTGCTGCAGAAAACGTCAGCTCCTCCTCCTCCTCTTCCTTCCCTGCTCTCTCACCGGGTCTCTGCGGAAGCACAGGGCACAGAAGTCTTGGCACTCTTGGGAGAGGGTGGGAGGGAGAACAGGAGGCGCGACAGTCCGCACGATGTGCCAGAAGAGAGCAGCAACGTTGGAGAACTGATTGGCGAAGGGAGGCTTCGACGTGCACATCTCTACGACGCAGCAGCCGAGAGACCATCTGCAGTATCATGAGGAGGAAGATGAAGAAGAAGAAGAAGATGAAGCAGAAGAATGGGACGAGGAAGAGTGGCAGAGAACGAGAGGGGGAGAGGGGAAAGGGAGAGATTGAAGAGGATCGCATACAAGTCAGACTGTCTCCCGATGTGACTCTGCTTGATAACCTCAGGAGCCATGAAGAAAGGTGTTCCCTTCATAGACATCTGCGCTGCCTCCCCTGCCATCCAATCACTCCTCCTCCTCCCTCCTCCCTCCTCACCATTGATGGAGGACAGGTTCCGTGAGGCTCCGAAGTCAGCGACTTTCACGTTCCCGTCGGCGTCAAGCAGCACGTTAGCGCACTTCACGTCGCGATGGAGGATGCAGTGCTTGTGAAGGTAGTCCAGCCCGAGCAGGATCTGCCGCGTGTAGGATCGAACCTACTTGAGCTCAGCGATCTCCTCCCTCTCCTCCCTCTCCTCCCCCTCACCACTTGCTCGTTCAGCGCCCCGAAGGTCGCGATGACGGAGGCGATGGATCCTCCCGCGCAGTACTCGACGAGCACGGAGATTCCTTTGTCTCGCTGCACCCCATAGTAGGCGACGATGTTGGGGTGCCGCAGCTGCTGCAGCAGTTTGATCTCAGCCTCCAGCTCAGCGATCGCCGACTCTCCGGCCTTAGAGCAGTCCACCTCCTTCACTGCAAGCAGCTCCCCCGTCGCCTCGTTCAACCCCAGGAATACCTGCTTCCTCGTCAGCCCTCCCCCCGCCCACCTCCTCCTCCTCCCCTCCGCCTGTGCTCCCTTCCTCACCTGCCCAAAGGATCCCGCGCCCAGCAGCTCTCCCTTCTTGAACTTGATGTTGCTCTTCGCCATGGCCTTGAGCTCGTCCTGTCGCTCCTCCATCTCCTTCATCACCTCCCTCCGAACCTCTGCGTGCTCCTCAGGGGTGTAGTAGTTGTCGCCAAGATAGTCCCAGTAGTGCACCGACAGCCGTTTCTCCTCCACCTCCTGCGTCTCTTGCTCTTGGACGGTGACAGAGGAGGAGAGGGAGGAGGAGGCGGAGGAGGAGGCCGCGCTCTCCTCCTCCGCTACCACCGGCAGCGTGCTCGGACGAGGCTTCGGAGGCTTCATGGGGCTCATGAATTCAACTGACGGGGCGCCAAGGGCCGCGAGCTCAGAGGGTGAGGGAGCTTGAGGAGGAGGGGCAGAGGAGGGAAGCGCCGGAGGATCTTCAGGGTCCTGTAGCATCCTGTCGGAGGAGAGGTCCAGGTCCAAGTTGGAGCAGATGCCTTCCACATCCTGAGACTCCGAGAGCTGATGGAAGGACAGCTCGCTCCTCTCGCTCTTCTCCGGCGACTTGAAGCTGCTCGAGTTGACCTCCTCCATCATCGAAATCTCCTTCCTCTCCTCCTGCTTGCTGCTTTCGCTCTGCCGAGGTGAGAGATCGTCGGCCGAGTTCACGCGCATGTGCCTGGAGGTAGCGGACTGCCCATGGTTCTCCTTGTCCGAGAAGGAGGAGGAGGATTCTTTGGCTGGGAACACAAGAGACTTCGGCATCGTCTTGGTCAACGGGCTCCGTTGCGGCACCGTGGCGAAATTAGCTTTCCTCTGAGCCGAATTGGGGAGTCGAGGAGAGGCTTTCACGGCCATGCAGGGGCTCGAGGCAGCCGGGCAAGCAGCAGAGGAATGAGATGAAGCTCGAGCAGCCTTGAGGCGCTGACGCTCCTCCTCTCTCCTCAGCTTCTCCTCGTCTCGCTCTCGTTCCTCCCTCTCCCTCTCCTCATCCATGATCTCCAGGAACCTCCTCCCAAGCAGCAGGAACTGCTCCCCCTCGTTCTCCTCCCACTCGTTCACCATCTTCATCAGCTTCTCTGTCACCTTCGGCAGCTCCTTGCTCACCATGTTTCTCCTCCGCTCCTCCTGTTGTCGCACTCTGAATGAATTCGCTCCCCTGTCCAGCAGCCTCGACGGGTCAGTCGCCGCGTTCCGCAGCTCCGCCGCCTCCTTCAGGATCGCCTCTCGTCGTTCGATCTGCTTCAGCACTGCCTGACGTTTCGACAGCCGCTCGTTGAGCCGCTCTTCCTCTCCCTTGAGCCTCTTGAGCTCCTGAGCACAAGCGTCAGGCCCGCCAGACCTTCCCCGTCCATCTCACCTCGACCGAAGGCCCCCTCCTCTCCTCTGCCTGATCCACTGCCTCCTCCTTCAGCTCTGCCTTGATGGCCGCCAGCTTCTCGCTGGCCTCCTCGCACAACTCAGGAAGCATTCGATTCAGCTTCACTCGGAGCTGAGAGCCTCAAGTCAAAACTCTCGCAAGGGCAACGGCAACGATTCACCTCATCGATCGACCTCTCGTTCTTCGCGATCATTTGCGCATAGCAGCTGTCGGAGGGATGCGAGACGTAGGCCTCTTGCTCTGCTGGAGCTGTCCTGGTGACCTCCAGGAGCTGTTTGATCTCGTCCTGCTGCGCATTCAGCTGACCCTCCATTTGACCCCTGACTTGTTGCAGCATGTCCAGCCTCGTGCAGGTTCTCTTGACCAAGTTTCCTGTCTCCTTCAGGGACTCTGTGTTCAAATCCATCTGCATGTCCCAAAGTGAGGCAGACAGAAGCATTCACCCTACTTTACCTGACACATCTCGTCTACGTCTTTCCAGTCCTTGTCCCCTGGCGAGTTTCCAACCAGCTCGATGAGTTCTCTGATGCCAGCGAGCGATCTCTGCAGCTCTTCTATTCTCTGCTCCCTCAGTTGTTGCTTCTCAAACACGATTTGACGAATGTCTTCCTCGTGCTGTGGAGAAAGATTCATTTCGATGTTTGCCTACCAAAATGTTACTGCAATGAACACATGTATGTTCAAGCGTCACCGTTGTCTGCTCCTCCTGTTCTTGGCTCAGAATACAAAACTCATCACAGTAAAGGAACTTCAATTCCTCCAGCAGATTTGTCATGACCACATATCTCTCGTCTCGAAGCGTTTCTGTTCGGGATAAGATTGCCTCCAAAGTCTCCATCTTCTCTTTCAGCGCGACTTGCTGCCCTTGCCCATGTGTTGAATCATTCTGAGCTTGTTCCCCTAGCTGGTTCTTCATGGAGCTCAGTCTGACCTCCAACAGGCGAATCTTCAGATTCATCGTTGCTTTCTCCTCCTTCGCCTCATTGACCTTGGCTTGCAGGATCCTCTCGAATTCGTTTGAAATTTCCTTCTGAACCGCACTGCGATCATCCTCGGCTATTCCGATCTCATTCCAAAGACTTTCCAACGAGATGAAGTGATCTCTGGCCTTCTGAGCAAGATCTTCTGCGATCACATCCATCGACTTCATCGCTGCTGCGCCGCCTATTCGCTCCTGAGTGGACAGCGGGTTGAAAGAGCTCCTACTGTAGATGCGAGAGGCGCAAGACGACTGGTGGCTGCGAGTGAGAGCTTACGTTCTTCTCACTGTGACACTGGCAAGCGCTCTCCTCCCCTCTCTCTCCTCAGCTTCTCCTCCTCCCCTCCCTCTTGGCCAGCATGCCGCGATGCTAGGCGTGTAGATTTGAAATGTTGAGTAAAGCTTTCCAACCGACACACATATGAGGGGTGGGGTGAATATTGTCGAGGGTGGGTACTATTGGTACCAGTACAGGGGGACTTGGGGTGATGTGATGAGTTTGAAAGCAAACAGAAGGGTAGGGTAGGGTAGGGTAGGGTAGGGTAGGGTAGTTTGAATAGGGGTGGGGTCAGAGAAGTATTGGAAATGGTGGACTGCAGAGCAATGATGCAGAGAGGAGAGGAGAGCAGAGCAGAGCAGAGCAGAGCAGAGTGGGTATGGGGGTATGGGAGAGAATTGAGGAGATAGATGAAAACATTATTCAGAGACGGTATAGCTGATGACAGACGAGTGCACACCACGAGACGAGCAACTTTGAAGGCGCAAATGGCTCAATGAAGGAAAGTCAGAGCAAGAGAATGAGAATGGAGGGAGGTGGGTGGAGAGAGAGGATGTAAGATTAATTTCTTTCCTGCAGAGCTGAAAAAACCTTCCTCTGTTTGATTCTCTGCCCTTCTCTTGATCCTCCATCGCCATGTCCATCAGCGAACGCATCGAGGAAGCGCGGGTCAACGGGGAGGAGGTGATATCGCTCAAGGACTCGTTCATGGGAGACGAAGGCTGCTGCCTGCTGGTGAAGTCGTTGGGGGCGGAGCAGCGAGTGAAGAGGCTGGATTTGGGAGGATGCAACATTCGGAGCGAGGGGGCGATAGCTCTTGCTTCCCTGCTGTCTTTCTCGCACACTCTCACGTCGCTCAGCCTCGAGTGGAACGGGATCGGGATGCTTGAGTCTGCCTTTGTCACCTTCTGCAGGGCCCTGTCCTCCAACCGCTCTCTCCTTGAGCTCGACCTGCGCAACAACAACATCGGAGGTGCTGGAGGAGCCGCGTTGGGCGACATGCTTGCGAAGAACTCGGTGATGCGAAAACTTGACATCCGTTGGAACAGGTGCTCTCTTCCTCGTCCTCTTCCTCTTCATCCACCACCTCCACCTCCACGACATCAACATCTTCGTCCCTAGATTCTCTTTCACTGTCAACAGACCTCTCAATTTCTCTCTTGGTCGTCCTGCCTGCCTGCCTGCCTGCCTCCTCCCCCCCCTTCCCTCTCGCCCGCCCATTCCTTCCTAGCACTCTCCCAGCTCACTCTCCCCCTGACTTGTCGTAGCCTGGGAATGAAAGGAGGAGCCGCTCTGGTCATTGGTCTGCAGGAGAATCAATCTCTCATCCAGCTAGACGTGTCAGGAAACAAGGTGAAGTTGATGAAGGAGCAGGAGCAGGAGCAGGAGCAGGAGCAGGAGCAGGAGCAGGAGCAGGAGCAGGAGCAGGAGCAGGAGCAGGAGCAGGAGCAGGAGCAGGAGCAGGAGCAGGAGCAAGGAGTAAGGAGCAAGGAGTAAGGAGGAGAAAGAGATGACGATGATGATGATGATGTCAACTTTATTCATGATATCTGCAGATCACGGATGAAAGTCTCTCCAAGATCCAGCAAGTCATCAACAAGAACCGACAACTTCTGTCGCAGAGCGACACCAGCGAGGAGGCAGCGAGAGGTGAGAGGAGGGAGACGAGGACAGCGAGACTGACGCTGGACGGGAAGGGGAAGGGGAGAGGATAGGGGAGGAGGAGAGGAAGCGAGAGGGAGGGAACGCGAGCTTGAACGACGCGCTAGTCCGAGAGACTTTCAAGGACCTCCAAGAGGCTCACAAGCTCTCCGAGAGGATCTTCACTGAGGAGGAAGAAAGGAAGGAAAGAACTACTAGAAGTGTTCACCTGGACGACCACGTCGATAAGAAGGTCGTTCTTCTTCCCCCCACCCACTCCCTCTCATCATCTTGTTGCTCTGCAGCTTGTCGACATGTCTCGGTCTATGCTGGAGTACAAAGAGTTGTACCTCCACACCGAGGTGCCCTCCTTCCTCCTTCCTCTGCTCCTCCTCCTCCTCCTCCTCCTCCTCCTCCTCCTCCTCCTCCTCCTTCCCTTGCCCCTGCCCCTCCTGCCCCCTCACCACCTTCTTCTTCCTCCTTCCATCTCCATCTCCTTCTTCCTCTCCCTTCGCCCGATGTCTCCTCGACTGCCTCCTCCTACCTTCTCTTTTCAACTCCCACTGTTTTATTGCACGTTACGAGCATGGTTCTTCAGCGATCCGTCGAGGAGGAGCAGCGACAACGACTGGAAGCAGAAGAGAGACTGAGAGAGTGCGAGGCTGTGATCGAGATGGTCAAGGTTGTCAAATTGCTCTGCTCTACTCCTTTCTCCCCTATTCTGCTTGCCCTCCTCTGCTCTGCACTCCTCTGCTCTGCTCTCCTCTCCTCTCCTCTCCTCTCCTCTCCCCTCCCCTCCCCTCCTCTGCTCTGCTCTGCTCTGCTCTGCTCTGCTCTGCTCTCATCTCGTCTCGTCTCGTCTCGTCTCGTCTCCTCTTTCCCCTGACAGGAAAGAATCTCTGCAGACGCAGGCAAGAGAACAGGAGGAGCGACGGAACAGAGAGAGGCAGGGATGCTCGATGGGGAGGACGGGCGTTGACAGGCTGGCAGGAGGGAGCAGGAGGAGGAGCTCAAGCGAGAGAGGAGTCAGCGGCAGGAGCAGGAGCAACTAGTCCATGTCAGCTTGCTTGCAACTTTTGCTGGCAGTGACGGGAGCTGGGCAGAGTCTGCGGCAGCAGCTGGAGGAAGAGAAGAGGAGGAGAGATGAAGCACTCCGCTCGTCGTCATGGTATGATGGCGGCGGCGGCGGTGGTTGTGGTGGGATGATGATGATGATGATGATGATGATGATGATGATGATGATGATGATGATGATGATGATGATGATGATGATGATGATGATGATGATGAGCTGATGACAGTAACCTGACCATGATGGCAGTGAGAATGAGATGATGGGAGCAGAGAGAAAAGACTTCTTGAACAGGCATGAAAGGCAGGCAGGAGAAGGATGATAACTTATACGTGATATTTCAGATCGACGTGCTGAAAGCAAGTGTCAAGAGTCTCAAGGAGAAGGTTTCCTCTCC